ATGGCTGTCTTCTGGGTTGTAGCGCTGTGTAGTATGGGTGTAGTTTACCGACGTTTCAGAGGTCCTTGCTGCCTCTATCATCAGGGCGATGAGTGCCTCATTGCCCTGAAGACAGACATCTTTGTTCAACGAAACCAGTTTACCATCACTTAGATTTTGATGGAAGTGTTAGCTGGTTTCTACGAAACGTCGGTAATGTACAACACTTCTACACGGCAAAGATAAAATTAAAAATTATTATTTTCACAGACAGTAGTTTTATTTGGTGAAGATATGTTGCAGCTACGAGATGCAAACTGAAGAATTTGGTTTCCAGACACTATAGGCGGTTCAACATGTCCGGCCGTACTTCTGTATCGCGGGCTTATTGATTTCCAACAAGTAGGTGCTCTCCTACCAACTCTTGCTTGGGACACAACGCGGTTTAGCTTTAGAAATTATACTGAAGAACCCATCATGCAGTATAATTTTTTTTATATATATTTTATAGTGCAGAAATAATTCGAACTTCTCGGTTTCATATTAATTTTGTATTTCGTGTTTCGTACGATTCTCACTGTAAACAGCGATTATATCCTTAAACAGCGTTAACCAGATGATCCTTGTAATGGTGAGGTGTTGTGTTTTCTTCGCGGTACGGACTGGATTCTTAAATATCATTTAGACGAGCTTCGATTTCAGAGAGCTAATGATGGTGTTAATACTAATTCATATGTTGTCTTTCAGAGTGAAGAACTGGGCACTAAAGTTCGGAGTGAGCCTTTGGGAATTCGGCCGCCAGTTTACAAAGATGAGCGAGATTGAAAAGGTGAGTACTTGCTGGTACACTGATATGACCGTGTTAACACGGAGCACGTGAGATGTCTGTCGTCATCATTCTGTCCGGACGAATGTCGAAAACATTCGAAACAGGCCACGATCGTGTGAGATCTGAGGTTCTCAAGGCGGTGAAGGTGTTGCTCGTGGTAACTGTAGGTAGGTAGGTAGATGCCGACGTTTCGGAGGTCTCGCCCAAGATCACCGATAATATTATTAAATGTTATATCGATATACGATGCCATAAACACGTACGGATGTTGTGTGAAAATACTACTGAGTTTCTAGGCCTTGTCCATTGTCTGGAATTCCTAAAAGAACGCGGTGTTTTGTGAACTGAATCGCTTCCTTCCTCAGGTGAAAAGGTGGGAAGCGACTGCCATGTTGGGTCCCTCAGTAACAGATAACTGAGTCCAGTGATTAACCTTCTAAACCCTAGTGGTGATTATGTCTCACCTGCTTTAACGATGAGTAACTCTGCACATTGTGTTTATGTGTTTACCAGTTCATCTTTGTAATGGTGAAGTGCTATGGTTTCTTTGCGGTACGGACTGAATTCTTACATAACATTTAAACGAGCTTCAGCTTAAAGGGCTAAGAATAGCTTTTTTGACGTAAATACGTCTATAAGGAAGGGTCATTAGGCAAAAATGTGTAACAAGTGTACCTAGGGAGC